GTAACCTCAATGTGTATATACCGATGGTCTTTGAATTCAAGAGGAGTTCACTGTACTTAGCTGTGGATGTTTCAACCAAGATGTCTCCAGAACGAAGCTTCTTAACTGACTTTGGAGAGCTAGCAAGACCCTCTAAGCCATTCTGGATAAAAAGGGAGACATTTGCCCTAAAGATTTATGGGATAGTGAATGCAAGATCAGAAAGCGAGGTACAGGTCCATCTTATGATGGAGACTGCTGTTCGGAGTCTTCTAGACATGGTCGTTTACCAATAAGCTGAGTTTTTACCATTCTTTTATTTGGATTGTGGGATCCATAATTAAGAAGAAAGATTCAATGCCCACTGACCCCACCCTCCATGGTGTCCTACGAGGGGACGCACTACAACGTCAAAAAGGACACTGCACCAACGCCAGGATTTCGTAAGCACTATATCCAAACACCAATATCAGACGCGATGTCCACAACACCCGTTGAGAACGCCCAACACTGGTACTCAGTTCATCCTAGCCCGAGTGGACCAGCCGATTAACTCTTGGGGGGGGGGCATCCCACGGCTATCCTCTACAGGAATTCAAGGCCAAAGTGGTGTGTTGCAGTGCTCCAGACACCACTCAACCACCAGGATCCTCTCCTCCCTTTCACGGGTCGCCACGCACGGCAAACATGTGGGTTGATGTTTAGATCCCAGAGGAAGTAACTGAAAATCAGAACCTTCCCTGGGAGCTTCCCTCACCACGTACAGGAATCCACGTCGAGTGGTACAAAAACGAAGCTGAAACTATAAATATAGAAAAAAAACATATCCCAATTATAATATATAACAGCAGTACAATATATTAAGGTGGTAACCTTAATATTTAAATTTGTGTAATTCACCAAATAATTTTTTAGGTCGGATGACTTACCACCCCTAAATAGAGTAAATATTGCAGATTTCAATGACTGTGCATAAAAGGTCACGGAAAAAAAAAGTTTATTTTTCTTACCGTGTTCAACCTGTAAATTTAAAGCACGTGTTTGTGATAGTTTTTCATTTTGTGGTAATTGTTAATCGTATTCACTTTTCCCCAATATCACGCATTGTGCCTTTTGTAATCGTAAAAAAGCCTCCAGCCCCCATGAATGTTCCTTTATATTCATTTTTTTTAAATCTTATGATATTATACCAATCCATTTCTTCAAAACATTATTCACAATAGCTTCCTGCAGAATTAAAATCCATTTTTTCTCGTCCGATAAAAATTGGATTTTCCTTATAATTGTGTATCCAACAAAACGTAAAACCTATGAAAGAGGAGACAATTTTTAAATGGGGGGGGGGGCAAGATGACAATAATTATTCACACTTGTTATTTTAAGACCTCTACCTGGTAGCTGATCAGCATGTCTGAAGTTTTACAACGCTAAAACTCGGGTTTCGATACCCGCGATGAGCTGAGCACAGATAGCCCATTCTGTAGCTTAGTGTTTAATAAGAAACAATGAAAAGAAAAGCTATTTGAAACAGCCGGTAAACTTCTTTTGTTCGATCGGATGCAAGAATAGGTTTTGAATTACCGCGCAGGAATTGCACTCGTGCTTAGTTTTGTTGAGTGCCATCACGTTTCTAATCATGATCTTAATATTTTAGCGGCTGAACGTAAACAGCATCTTCCAATTAAGTCAAGAGTTCAACAGACGCGAAATCTTGTCCGCGTTTATAGGATGGTCACAAAACACATCCACATTTTCTTAAATTAAAAACTAGCCGTGTGGAGTCGACATGTCGCTGCCACCCGGATTAGCTGTCTAGCTCAACATTTACTATACTCATGAAAAGAAAAGTGTTATTAGTGTAGCTGTACCGACAAGCATGATACTATACAGAATTAGTCAGGTACGTAGCGTACTCTTCTGTTCTTGATAAATTTTATCTCAGGTCACCAACTACGTTGTTTTGGAGGAATTAAAAGTTCAAAATCGGTGTTGTAGTATGGTTTTATGGTATTGTACATAGTTCAGAATTTATTTTATCGAAAGCTTATTGAGTTAAGCCTAACCAAGTCTATATTTAACTGTTGATTACTTTGATTTAAATAAAAAGGCTTGAATAGTATTATATACTTCAGATAGGTTTCAAAATAAGTTAACATTTCCCAAAGGAATGAATTTATTTAGATTTACAGCGAACCGAAATAAGAAACTTATGCGATACAGACTGTATGATGTTTGGCGTGTTCGTATCGTTACCTTCATTAAAAGTAAAATCATTAACTTCAGAGATACCAATGTTAATCATCTCGATCCGATATATAAATATTTCTTGCTGTGTCAACAATATGGGTCAGGCCATTGAAGATTAATTCATTTATAACTTGTAGACTATAAAATTCAGTTGAACTGTACAAGATATGGCTACAGCGAAACAGACAGCCATACTAAAACGTAGACTGTCATAGTTGACTTGCCACGTTATACTCAATAAACATATTTTACTAAATGGCTAAGCATAGTAGACATGACTCCTGCAAATCTGAATTGAAAATCGTATGTGATAACAATGAAAAATCTCGCCAACGTTCAAAGTTTAAATTTTGAAAAGTTATCAAATGAGAGAAATAACTCTTTGGCCATTTATAGATAACAGCACCCGCGCTGATTATATGTTTCACATATTCGTGCTCGTAATTATTCACGCACTTTCATTCTAATTATGATAAGCATAATTATTCACTAATTATTGTGCTTCAATTCCTACGCTGAACGGCGCGTGACGAACAAGTTTAGAATCACGTACGAAGGTCGAACAGAGGAGAGATCAAGTCCAACTGGTTTATGTATTGCCTTATATATATAATCACCTTTTACTTAGTTTAAAACTATGATCGTTTTTCTGTGAACATTTATGAATAGGTAATTAATTGTACGAGTTAGTGCATGCAACATATGTATACATACATATAGTTGAAGTTATTTTCAACTTTAGTTTTCCCAGAAATAGTTCAACTGCATATACAAAAGAACTTGGAATTACGCCACGTTATATTTCAGTCTCTTTACACATAGTTTCTTTTGTTTTTGTTTTTTGTATGCGTAAGGAAAGATTTTGTTTCTCGATAGAGTATTCCTATAGAGTTTGTAAGTCACAGTTTAAAACATGTTGCGCTAGTTTATGGAGATAATATAATTTGTAAGAAATGTTATTATGTTGCTGATGTGCCCCTAAATGTTGCATTAGATATTTTGGAGTTGAATGTGTATTTGAAGTAGTTTGAATAATTAATAAAATAGTTTTATGATAGTCTACAGGAGTGATGTTTCCACTTAGATACTAGTTGCTTTTTGTATGTAGTGGTAACTTATTTTCTTAAATGTAGAGTATCAATACGCCTTTCGGTCTATGAGATAGACGCTTAAAGCTTTCTCTACTTTCTCGTAATTTAAAACTCCATGATGATTTTTACACGCATACTTGTCCATATTTATTGTTGAACCTGATTTCTCTCAGAGTTTAAACCGATTACCTCAAGTTTATTGAAGGATTCTGTTTCTTTGCAGTTGTAGCCATCAGAAAGATTTTCAAGATAGCGACGAAGAATCGGTGAGTGCTCTTACACTTGTTTTTTATACGTACTCTCAGGTGTTTAGTTCTGTCTTTGGGCGCTCGACTCGCGAGCTGCGGGATCTAAACCCATCGCCAAACATGCTAGCCATTTTAGATGAGAGGGCGTTAGAATGTGACGGTCTATCCCACTATTCGTTAGCAAAGAATAGCCTATCACTTCAAAATTAGGGATGGCTGACGCAGATAACCCTCGAGTAACTTTGCGAGAAAATTTAACAAACGAACTGTGCATCCTTTCTTTCTTAAGCATTACAGTTTAGAGGGTACTGTTTTATTTTGGAGATTTCTGTAACTGAAAGCTGTACAATAAAACTTCAGTTCAATCCTGGGATTGATGCTATGTATTTTGTTACCATGTTACAAGGTTTTTCAGTTCTCAAATTATACAGTGGTTCAAATGCATATATTAATAACTGTTGAATGGGTTGTTTGTTTCATTACATTGAGTGACTTTTCTCAAGTAACTGTTATGTAGACAAGTTTTTGTGATTTTTAAACATTTGAATTGATTGTTTCTCATTTTATTTGGCGACTAACCTTTCTCTAAGTATATTTGTATATTTAACTGACAACGATTTATCCATAAAACTACCCTGCAAACCCGATTCACGTTATATTATCACGTACTTCTTCCATTCATTTGTATCTTATAACGCTAAACATTTATGGCTAATATATTTTAATCTAGGCGCGTATGCTGAATATGTCATTTAAATGCGAACAGAACACTTCAGTATTGTATTTTAAACAGTTCAAGTACTGTCACAGTTGAAAAACGCCTTTACTAAAAAGATATGCTGGACAATTCGTAACAGTTAAGAACAGATCACTTATAAGACATTTCTCTAACATGTATAATTTGTTGGATCGTCAACACAAGCTTATGATTAACAGTTAAAAATGCCCTTTCTTATAATAATCGTTCAGTTTTTTATTGAAAACTAGATACTTGATTTGTGGGACAAAGCTATGCATTAAAGCCTTTAGGTTCGAGTTTACGCCCAGGGCAGGAAGGATTGTTTGAATAGATCTTCAGATCAAAGCGCATAACCCTTTTCAAGTACACTTTACTGTACATCAATAAAGGTACGTGATGTATTAAATATTCGTGTTTCCTGAGGAAGCAAAGCTGAGGTCATTATGTCTGTGTCCTCAAGTTATTGTATCACGATGCGAACCTATAGTATGGAAAGATAACCGGAAGAACCAGTTATTTTGACCGTAAAAACACACACAAAATATTTCTTGCGTATTATATTACCATTACGATGAAAATCCTCTTGGTAACTGTCGGCTTTGTGAGTGGTGTGGGCAACATTAAACAATCCTGTAGAAGTAATACGCACCTGAAACATGCTATATATATATATATATATAATAAAATAATTAAAGACGTTACTTACATTCTGTATTGTTTTATGACATTACGTACTTCTCTGTTTAATATAACTAGCTGCATTAATTTACAAGTTACATTTTAGTTCTGATCTATATGGTTAGTTATACTTATGATTAGATTGTTAAAGATTCTTTTCCAAGAAAGCTGGTAGAGCATTTCATGTTGTGATTGAATAAAAATAATACAATACTACCTCCTTTAGCTTAAACGGTGTATACATTTATCTAAAACGAGAGTTTTTACAAGTTTGAAGCTTACTTGAAATGTTCATTAATGCGCATAGGTTAAAACAAGAGAGAATCCTCAATAACCGCAGCTATAATAGATCTCAAATCGGTCAGTAGATGAAGCTATCAGCTGAAAGTTTGTACTTGAAAAAACAAGAGGTAATCCGCAATAGCCGCGGCACTTGACATTATTTTAGGCAGGATTGGAGTTAAATAATATATGAAATTTTGGGCGTGGTCAAATACATCAATCGAAAGGGTTTGACCTCCAAAGTTCAAAACTATAATTATATCTGAAATCGGTCAAGAGATGACAGAGCTATGAGCTAAATTTTATGGGCCGCTGTGTCACGACTAAAAAAATACCATTTTAATACCAGAGTTATCCACATGTTTATAAATCATTCAGTACCAGTGGCGTCCACATTGTGCATCATGTTGAGTAGTTTGATATTTCTGTCTGTAACAATACTCAGTGTAGAGAACTGATTAAACAAAAGTGGGTGAAATCACTTATATTTTTATGTGAGATACATAGAAACTTCAGCAGTAAGCAGTGGGTTGGTATTGTTTGTTTACATTTTGTGTTTGAGGTTCATACGTTATAAGAAACCTTGTAACCAGAAAAAAATTGTAGACTCACAAGTAGTTTAGTAAATATTTTAGAAAAGTATGTTTGAAAAGCCGACCAATGGACCCCATAGGCAGTTCTAGGGTTAAATGACAGAGCTACGTTAAACGCTTAGGCTAAGCAAAGCAACTAAAGAATTTTTGTCCTGCAGGACAAAAAAAAATAAATAAAACAAATTATGAGCTCGTACGGCGATTCACAAACAAGTATGTTGTACTGAGATATCTTTAGACCTAAACTCAATTAAACGTCGTGTACCTTGTCGATCAAAACCTTGAGAATATTATGGCGTATTCCGATTTATAGTTTGATTCACAAGCGTATTATTGAATGCCATAACTTATTAACTTTTTAGGTAAAAAACATAAACGTCTTTATTTCCTGGCAAAACCCAAATATTCAGAATTTTTTATAAGGAATGTTATTGAAGTTGTAGAGGCGTACCGTTGAATATCCATTTAAAGAAAGCGTTGACAGATTTCTGAATGTGTGTGTGTAAATGTAATATTGAAATAAATAGCTGATGCCAGTACTCGAGAGCCTGGCATGGCCAGGTGGATAAGGC